CTTCCTATTCAGTCCCCTGTTGGTTTTAGCTCTAGGGTTCTTGTAATATTTTTTGGAGTGGGGGTTAGTAGTAATGAATTTCTGGAGATTTTTTTTGTCTGAGAAGGTTTTTATTTTTCCATCATAGAGGTAGGGGAGCTTTACAGGGTAGAGCATTCTTGGTTAGAATTTGTTGAGCTGGAGTCTGTTAAATATATTCCTCCATTCTCTTCTTGCCCTTAGTGTTTCCTTGGAGAAGTCTAATGTCAGCCTGAGTGGATTTCCTTTATAGGTTATCTCTTTCTTCACCCTCCTCAGTTTCATTATTTTTTCCTTATCTTGGACATTTGGATACTTTACTGTCATGTGTCTTGCTGTAGTTCTCTTTTCACTGTGGTAATTTGGTGTTCTTCTAGCTTCCTGTGTGTCTATTTTCATCTTCTTCATGCTTGGAAAGTTCTCTTCAATTATCTCCTTTAATAGTTTCTCAGTTCCTTGATCTCTCTCCTCCCCTTCTGGGATACCTATGACTCTTTTATTTCCTTTCCTTATGGTGTCAGATAGTTCTCGAAGTATTTTTTCATTCTTTTTCTTTTGTACTTCTCTTCCCTTTCTTTTTTTTTTGGTTCTTTTTATATATGTATCTTCAAGAGTACTGATTCATTCTTCTGTTCTATTTTCATGGCTTTTCCCAGAATTCTAAGCTCCTCCAGTTGTCCCTGGGTATCCTCCAGTTCCTTCACTTTCTTCCTCAGCTCATTGATTATATTCATATCTCTTTCTGCATTTTCTCCTCACTCTTTGATTGTTTTCTTTATGGCCTTTTTAAATTCTTTGTCTATTAGGTGGAGATATTCTTCTGTGTCCGTATCATTGGATTTCTGGAGGTTGACTTTCTTTCTGTGGTATATTGTTCCCAGAAGGGCTTGATTGATCATATGTATTTTTCTTTCTTCCCATTGTTAGCCTTCACCTTTGCTCTGTTCTTAGTGCCCCTGTACCACTGGTGCTGGTGGGCATGACTTCTGATTTCTCTTGCTAAGGTGTGGATTTATCTGCCTGGTGCTGTGGCTGGGTACACGTCTGGACACTCCTCTGTTATGGTAGATGTTGTTCTGAGATATGCTTTGCTCCAGGAGCACCTGCTTTTCTTCCCTCCTCCACTGTGTGGGATGGGATCCAATGACTCAGTCAAGAGTCTCATGTGGGGCCACCCTTGTGGCACAGTGGTTGAGCGACGCACTGAGAAGCTGTCTGCAGCCTCTGCAGCATGGGTTCGATTCCCCACTAGCCAGGGAGAACCCCACATGGCGCAGCAGACCTCTCCTGCCTCGCCCGCTGCTCCCCTCAGCAGTGCCTTCACCCCTGTCTGCCTGTTCTGCTCCCTGCTCTGACTCTGGTGAATTCTCTCACCCTCCCGTGCTTCTGACCTGTACCCCAGTTCTTGTATAAAATAAATAAATAAATCTTTCTTTTTTTTTTTTTAAAGATCCTTGTGTGGAGGTCTGTGCCTCCAAAAACACACTGAGGCCAAGTCCACTGGGAGGTGCCTGCAGGCTGTTTTGGACATATGTCTCTGTTGAATTGCTAGGTCCCTCTAGGCATGTCTCAGAAGAATACTGGGGTTGTAAGAGAATAAGGAGTGAAATAAAGGATAAGAGGAAGGAGAATGACACGGCAATGTAAAAGGAATGAAGTTGAGAATAAAAAGCAAGGGCTATATAAGGGGATGAACATAGAGGAGGAGAGTGATGAGGGAATGTGATGGAGAGAGAAGAGAAAGTAGTGATGATAATGCTAGAGAGGATAGTGAAGAAAAGTAGAAGAATCAAAACAGAACTAGGAAAGACAGGAAGGAACAACAAACAACTGATCAATAAATAAACACACAAAAAGATGGGGGGAGAATTGCTTCGCAGGACTCTGGTGGATTCCCGTGAATTAGTTGTTGCTGTTTTAGTCTGGTCCCATGGAGATCATGTTAGAGCTGAGTAGAATAGTCTTCCCAGGGCTCTCTATCTCCCTTGTGATGTTTTGACAGAAGGAATAAGAAAGAAATGGAAGACAGCAGAACAAAAATGGCATCGAATGAACTGCAGCAGTGAGTGTGGGAGGATCAGCACTCTTTCAGGGCCCATGAGGTAGCTGGGTGGGTGATGAGGCTCCTGAGGACACCTTCTAATGAGGGCTTGGGGTACCAGGAGTCCCTCGATGTAGGGACTAGCCCTATGAGGCTCCTCCTGATGTTTTTCCCACTGGTAAAGCAGTTAAAACAAATAAAAAAAGGTCTCGCCAGTCCCCAGGAGAGGTGAGGGGAGGGACGCACCACAACAAAGGGGCTCGCACACCACGCTGTGCCTGTCCCAGACTCTGTTTGCCCACGTGCCCTTGTCCAGATGTCTCAGGATTCACAATCCAGATGTCTCAAGCTTCTCTTCCGTGACTGGTCTCCAGCTTTTTTCCCCCCTTTCTGCTGGCTGAAGTGGACTGGCTTTATAGGTGGGGGAGGGTAGAAGGGTTCTGATGATTTTCTCTCTTCCCATCCCCTGTTGTTCCAACTTTCCTCTTTGGGGAAAATGCCAGTGTCATCCAGTTTATCTAATGTGTCTGTGTCGTCACAGGAAACTTGCCATTTTTTCTCCCTATCAGTTGTTTTTATGGGAGAACTTAATCCTCGTGTCTCTTCACTGCTATTTGATCAGCTGACTCTTAATGTTATATTATAAACAAATGAATTGATAATTATCAAAACATCACATACAATTACCCTACAAATACAATGCACAAACAACAAAAATCAACACAAATATTTACTTAAAGAAGTTCAAACTGTGATGTTAAGTTGAGCAGGCACCTCTTCCAGAGAACAGAGAATTGTCCAGAACAAAACCAAGTTGGCGGGGCCTAAGGGCAAAATGCTTCACAAAATGTCTGAGGTCATTGATACAGCAAATCTCTTCGTAGTATTCATCAATTTGAAATTTTTTGTTTAATTTTAATTTTTATTGCTAATTAGCATAAATATTCTTGGAAAGTGCTAAAAGTTATTTCCCAGCATTTTTCAAACATTTCCAGATTTTATCAATAGGACAATTACACAGGTCTACATGGACTTTATCCTAGACTTGTACTAACAATAAGATATCACAGTTGCTCTTGACATGCAAGTACAGGCAATGTTTTCAAAGAATGGAGAGGAACAATTTAGAAAGATAGATGACTGTCTGGAAGGGTATTTGGGATGAAGAAGGAATCTTTAAAAGATGGAAATAATTTTGGAGTCCTTCAGTCTTGTATTGAATCTCTCCACAAAGGTGCTGGGTCATGTATTTGATGCAAATAGTTTATTTAAGTGATAATCCCAGGGGATTCTATGAATGTTTGTATAAGTATTATTGTAAATAATCAATTCTCACTTGGGGCAAGTGAGGTGTGTGAAAGGCTTGGCACAGTAAAGAGAAAGAGAGCCAGGCCAGTTTCTAACAGGCAGAAACTTTATTGTGTGCCTGGCTGAGATTCGCCGACCCCCACGGGGAGTTGGAGAAGTCACGCCCTGGGTGGGGGGAGATGTCCTTTTATAGGGTGAGGAGAGATTAGGCAGGAAAACTGGGTTGGCGGGGGGGGGGGGGGGGGAAACAGGTTTAGGCAGAACAAAGTTGTTTTTCGTGGAGCTGAGTTGTTTTTCTCCTGTTTATGGCTTCAGTTTTGGTTTGGTATCAGTGGTACTGGTGTCAGGGCCATCTTGTTTTTTTCTATGTGGGCTTTCTCATTTCTGGCCCCTACATCGAACTTTCAGTGTGATCACTCTGTTACAGAGCAACCCTGATATAAAATGGGTTGCCCGTCTGTGGGTCCTCACCCGCATGCTTAAAAGGGACTTAAACTGCAGGCACACACAAAAGGTTAATCAAAGGCTTATTTACAAGGAAGGAGGAAATGAATAACTAAGGGAGAAACAGAGGAAGATACATTCTTTTTTTTTTTTTTAAAGATTTATTTATTTATTTTTATTTATTTATACAAGCACTGGGTACAGTCAGAAGCGCGAGAGGGTGAGAGAATTCACCAGAGCCAGAGCGGGGAGGAGAGCAGGCAGAAGGACCGAAGTACACTGCTGAGGGGAGCAGCGGGCGGCAGGAGAGGTCTGCGCGCCATGTGGGACCCTCCGCCGGTGGCCGGGGAGGAGTCGAGGATCAAACCAGCGCTGCAGAGGCTGCGGGCAGCCTCGCAACCCAGAGCTCAACCGCCGCGCCACTGGGAGGCCCAGGAAGATACATTCTTAAATGTGTCCTGCCCATTCCACCGACCTGGAATCCCAAATGACCCGCCAAGACCAAACGCTGCCTGGCCAAGAGAGAGCGCCAGGAGAGAGAGACCCCACTCATATGGCTGATTATATTCACAGAGAAAATGGCTGCTTAACTCTGCCCTCAGGTCTTTGCAACTCTCTCTTTGGGGATCATGGAATTTGTAGTTCCCAGTGTCTTGATGGAGTGGGGGTGGAGTCCACAAAGCCTGTATGGAGTTTGCGCAGGACATCCTTTCCCCCTAGCAACTCCATGATCCTTGAGACACCGTAGAAATGCTCCAGAACTGCCTCTCTCAGGGTAATGAAGTTGGGATATTCATGCAACAAGCCCTCTTTACCTGAAACCAGAAATGAATGCTAGGGGTATCAACTCCCGTGCTTGTCCAAGTACTCTGTGTGCAGGCTGAGCCTGCTCCTGTGGGGAGGTGAAGCCCTGGGGCACAGAAATAAAGGGGGTGGAGTTGATAGTCAGTGTGCTTGAGAGATGTCCATCAAACTGCAAGGTTATCCTGCAGATGGACTGAGTATAATGAATGTTGTGTTCAGTGGTGGAAATAATATAGAAAATGGATAGAGGAATCTCATTTCCAAACAGAGTCAGAGGAAATGGTAAGTGTGAACTAACCAGTGGGATGAGATCCAGGTTTATGGCAGAGGCTTGTCTTGTTAGAAACAGGGACAGCTGCTCTACATCCTTTCTCTTTGACCCAGGATGGCCAAAGAGGGGAGAAACCTCACCCTGGTGTCTGAATTCATCCTACTGGGTATCTCAGAGGACCCCAAGCAACAACAGCTACTGTTTGTACTCTTCTTGAGCATGTACCTAGTCACGGGACTGGGGAACCTGCTCATCATCCTGGCCATCACCACAGACGCTCGCCTTCATAACCCCATGTACTTCTTCCTGGCCAACCTGGCCTTTGTGGACATTTGCTTCACTACCACCACCATCCCCAAGATGCTGGTCAACCATGTAACAGGACACAAAGGAATCCCTTATGCTGGGTGCCTGACACAGACTTTCTTTTTCATGTGGCTTGGTGCCATAGACTGCTTCCTACTAGGTGCAATGGCCTATGACCGCTATGCTGCCATCTGTCATCCTCTGCACTATGCCATGTCCATGACACCACAGCTGTGTATCCTCCTAGTGGCAGCATCCTGGACCACATCCTTTGGAAATGCCTTAACCCAGACATTATTACTGACCCGGCTTTCATTCTGCAATCACAACCAGATTCACCATTTCTTCTGTGACCTCAGCCCTCTGCTGAAGCTGGCCTGCTCTGACACCTTTATAAACAATACAGTGCTGTTCAGTATGGGCTCACTGCCTGTCATTATCCCTTTTGTGGGCATCCTGGTCTCCTACATGCTTATCTTTGCTGCTGTGATGAGGATCCCGTCAACAAAAGGCAAGCAGAAGTCTTTCTCTACCTGTGGCTCTCATCTCTCTGTGGTGTCCTTGTTCTATGGGACACTCATTGGGGTTTATTTCAACCCCACATCCTCTCACACGGTCCAGAAGGACACAGCTGCTGCAGTGATGTACACCGTGGTCACTCCCATGCTGAACCCCTTTATCTACACTTTCCGCAACAGTAACATGAAGGGGGCCTTGGGGGCCCTCATCAGTAGGAAGCCAGCTTTTACTCCTTGACCACAACATGGGGATGTCTGTGTCCAAGTACTGAAACTGGCACAATCCTAATCTTGGTTATTACTTATTTCATATTGTACTCAATTCACTAATTTTTTTTACCTCATTCTTCCAATAGCTTTTCATTAAGAATCTTTTACATTTCAATAACTTATATAAGTGCTGAGTATGCAGAGAACAAAGAAAATCCCTGACATTATGGTATTCACACTGAAATCTTAGGAACTTATAGTGGTTAATAGGAAGTGCCTTGAAAACCAGAGACCCGGGTTTATGTTCCACTTGTGTTAAGTTTCAGATTCTTGTCCTTCTGTTGCTTGGAATCACACTCAATGTTCTTTTCTACACAGATTCTTTAAATGGTTTAATTTAATTTGTTTCAATTTAATTTTCAGTGCAACTCCTTGCACTACACTATATTTGTCGTTGTCACTATGATGTGAAACAATAGTCTTGAGCAGAAGGTAAAGCCTTATTTATACTCTTTGGGGGAGAAAGGAGGCTGTCGTCTTTTGAAATAATGTCATGTTTCTGACTCATCACTTTTTAAAGACTTTCTTGTAAGTCCTTGAGATGAGCACAAAGAACAGCCAACTTCAGTAACATCTTGCTCTTTTCAATCACTTCTGCAAATAGATGTTAATTGACATATGATATGCTTTAAAGTTATCACAGGGGATAGTATTTCCAAATTATCTTCCTTGGCATAGCACAAGCCAGCTAACTAGTTTGCAATATTTGTTTCTTACCACTCGTCTACCAAGTTAATGCATCTAAATTTTCATTTTTGTGATGTTACATATTTATGTTTTAATTTAAATGAATAGTTTATTTGTTGTCAGTTTTCTAGTGCATCTGTAACAAAATACCACAAATTTATTGACACAAATGTTAAGTGGAATAAGCAAAATACTATGGTATATACATGAATGTCAGAAAAATGATGTTAGCTGAGAAAAATAATATTTTAATTAAATGTGTATCATGTGAAAATATAACTAAAATAAAACCAAAGAAGTTATCTGAGAAATTAAAAATTATATTTATTGAGGTAATACTGGTGTGTAGCACTATATGTATTTTAGGGTTACAGACTTACATTGCTACAGGTCTTTGTAATCACACCATGTTCATCACCAAAATGCTGATAATCCTCCACCAACATCCATTGGAAACCCTCTTTCTTTGTGATCCCCAACTCCTCCTCACCTCACTAGTAGTTTCAACTCAAGTTGAGTTCTAGTTGACAGTCAGAGTTCTATTGCTTGATTTTGTTTGGTTTTGTCTTTTACTTTGCTTGCTTCTCTATATTACACATGTGAATGAAATAATCCAGTATTTGTCTCTCACTTTCTGACATTTCATTTAGCATAATCACTTCTAGTTCCATCCATGTTCTCACAAATGGCATGAGTCCATCTTTTTTTATACCTGAATTGTATTTAGTATTTCATTGTATCCATATACCACATTTTCTTTATCCAGAGTTATTTGAAATTTTTTAAATAGAAACAACTCCATAGCATATATTGTCATAAAATATTGTAGATTGGATGACATAACCAATGTGTATTTGTTAAAGATGTTTGCTACTGGTTGCCAATATGTCTGGGTTCTGGAGAGGACCCTTTCTGGTCATAGATAATGTCCTCCTGCTTTGTTCTCACAGGGTCAGAGAGAGAAAGTTCTCCAGTGTCTCTTGATGATGGTGGCAGTCCATTCACAAGGGTTCCAATGAAGTTACCTCCAAAAGATTCCACCTCCAAATATTATCACATTGGGTATTACAGTTCAACATATGAATTAGGAGGGGGACACAAATATTCAATGCATAGCAGTCACTTAATTGCAACCAAACAACAGTGAATAAAGGAGTAAAGTAATACTTAAAGTAATAAAAAGGTAAAAAAGGAGTGTCTCCACTCCATCCATGCAGATAAGATCAGGTAGAAGCCTACTTTCCTTTTTGTGAGATGGTAACAAGATGCCTACAGAAGTGTGAAAAGATCTCTAAGGAGCCAATACTCAGAATCAATGTGGTGTTGGATTTCTATGCCCCATTCAGCAATAATGACTTACCCTCTCCCAAATTGTGGTGGTTTCAGAGAGCCTAGTGAATGACAGCATTAAAGCTAACCCTTCCACAGTTCAGTGGGGACTACATAGGGATCTGAGGTGCCCTTCAGCATAACAAGGCATCCCAAATTAAATGACTTTGATGCTGAATTGGGACCAGACTTCTACCTCCCCCGCAGACAGGGGGCAACACCTCCCCTTGCCCCACCAAGGAAAAGACAGTGTTAGAGAAAGTCAGCTAACCTGAAATTCAGCTAACCTGAAATAAGATTCAGAATCTCAAACATGATTTGCAAATGTCCAGGTTTGATTGAAAATGAGTTATTATATGTAAATCAAAAGAATCGCTAACTGAATGAAAAGAAAATTCAGAGTTATTAGAAATGGAGATCAACATGGTGGTGAGGAAACGCTGCAAGTAAGACTTCCCATAAAAAATAAAAAAGTTAATAGGGAGGAAAAGCAGCAGGTCCCTGTGAGAATTGGGACATGGAAGATAAAAGGGAAACTCTGGCAAGCTGCCCGAAGAAGAAAGTTGCGATAAAAGAGGACTAGAAGGGAGGAATGCTCAGAACCCTGCTACCCTCCCCCACCCACAAAGTTGGCACTCTCCAACCAACAGAAAGGAGGAAAAAAAAACCAAAAACAGCCAACAAGAACAAACTATACATCAAGCGGGACTGTGAGTGGAAAGGAACTATTTCAGCCACCGCATCCTGTGAACTGGAACTGTGGAGAACCATGCAGGAATCATCATGGAGGTGAGCAAACAGCTCCAGGTACCATTAGAGAAAAACAAAGACTCCAAGGAGACCTACAAACAGCCCAAAGCCATCCAGTAAGCTTGTGTGGAAAAGCGGCATGCTTGAAAAGCATATGTGGCTTTCTCAAAGATTAGTTGACCATAAATCTATGGGTTTATTTCTGGGTTTTCCATTCAGTTCCATTGGTCTGTGTGTCTGTTATTGTTCCAATACCATGCAGTTTTGATTATTATGGTTTGTTGAATAGTTTGAAATCTGGGAGAGTGATGCCTCCATTCCCTTCTTTTTTTTTTTCAGGAGGGTTTTGGCTATTCAGGGTTTTTGGTGGCTCCATATGAAGATACATATACATATGTGGTACATATACACAATAAAATATTACTCAGCAATCAAAAAGATAAACTCATGCAATTTGCAGCAACATGGATGGAGCTGGAAGGAATCATGCTCAGTGAAATAAGCCAGAAAGGAAAAGAAAAATACCATATGGTCTCACTCATAGAGGAATCTAGAAAACCTAAATAAGGAATAGGAAAAAAAATAACTATAAGAAAGAAAAAATCAAAATCAACAAAAACTATGAACAAGAGACACACTATGGGGGGTCGGGGAAAGGAGGGCTTGGGGTCAAAATAAGGGGGGTGCAATTGTATGGGGAATATAAAAATAAAAAAAAATAAAAATAAGTCTTTTTTTTAGTGCTAGCAAGGGAAACGTGATTCAAAACCATTTAATATGTTGCCTTTTGTGCAGATGGATTTTGTCCATCCACTGTGCTTCATCATGTTAGATCCATGGCAATAGCATTTTAACAATAGCATTTTAACAAAAAAGAGAAGTTTCATTTTAGCTCTTCTGCCCATTTTTTGACTGGATTGTTTTCTTTGTTTTTGTTGAGTCTCATCAGCTCTTTGCAGATTTTTGCGATCAGTCCTTTATTGTTAGTGTTGTGTGCAAAAATGTTCTCCCAGTCGGTGGGGTTTCTCTTTGTTTTTGTTATTGTCTCTTTTGCTGTGCAGAAGCTCTTTAATTTGATGTAGTCCCAGCTATTTATCTTTGCCTTCACTATCACTGCGTTGGGTGATTTGTCTGTAAAGATGTCTTTGAGGTGCATGTCATGTAGTGTTTTGCCTATATTTTCTTCTATGTATTTTATGGTTTCAGGTCTTATGTCTAGTTTATAGCTGTACTATTTACAATAGCTAAGCTATGGAAACAACCCAAATGCCCCAAAATAGATGACTGGATCAAGAAGATGTGGTACATATACACAATGGAATATTACTCAGCAATCAAAAAAGATAAACACATGCAGTTTGCAGTAACATGGATGGAGCTAGACGGGATCATGCTCAGTGAAATAAGTCAGAAAGAAAAAGAAAAATACCAATGGTCTCACTCATAGCAGGAATTTAGAAAACCTAAATAAGAGACCAGGAAAAAGACTAATCAATACAAAGTAAAAATCAAAATCAACAAGCAACTATAAACCAAGACACACTGTGGGTGGGGTGGGGAGGGAGGGGTGGGGAAAGGAAGGACTAGAGTCAAAATAAGGGGGGAGTGCAATTGTATGGGGAATATAACCAAAACGAAAATACATACATTGTGCAAAGATGAAAAAAGATGTAAGAATTATATAAAATAAAATATTTAAATAAAAAATAACAATATGTTTAATAATTTAAAAAAGCACTCTAATTTATCTTTAAAAAAAGAAGAATGAAAGAAAAGCATATGCAGACCTCAGCTGCCCAGGTCCCCATGCCTGTGACCTAGGCTTGCAGGGAGAAGCACGGGAGCCCTCATTTAGGTGAATGTCCCTCACTGAGTAATCAGAAACCAGGTGCCCAGACACTGGAGCTGGGTATAAAAGGCGCCATTTCTGAGGACACTGAACAGGGCCACAGCCCACGTCCTGGATCTGATGGCTTTGAAACTGAGACCCGGGGCACAAAATTCAGGGTGTGGGATCCCCACAACGGTGGGCACAGGGCAGACACAGCACCCCCATGCCGTTGAGGCGCTCCAAGCCACCTCCCATTCTGTTCCCCTGGACACACTGTAAAAAAACAGTTCTGGAAGGACACTAGGAAAGATATCTGGCACGAACTAGTGACCAGAAAAAAAAATCACCAACACCCTGTAGTTGGAAACCAG